TATATATAAAACCAAAGCGTGTATGTGTGTATATGATTGAGCTTAAAGTACCAACACACATAATATAACACCTAAACTAAATGTTACCCAAGCAATATTGATCTTCAACGAAGCTCTATCTTGGTACACTTGTGGATAAAGCTTGAACTTGTATCTTTAACTTGAATAGCAAGGCTTCAACCACTATTCCACCAACCTCTATTTGATATGATCGTTATGGCGCAATCCATCCAACCTCCAACATATTGTTTGCCTAGAAAAATATAAAACACAAATACTATACAAACAATATTAGATGTAAATTGTTTGTAAATCATCATCAAAACAAGAAGGTCAATAATTTCTTGTGACAACGTCAACTACCCGAGGGTATTGTGAGGATTTGACATGACTTGATTTTGGTTGAGGTTTGGAGTTGTAATTCCTTTGTTTATTATTTATTTCATAGGTTTTGAAGTTGGTATTTAGCGATTCACAATTTGAGATACGAGGTATATACATGAGGGTTTTATTGTTTGGATTATTTCGCTCGACGTACCCATTTTCGTATTGTGGATTTCTAAATATCAATTTTCACTTAGTTTAGGATAGATGATTTCTATATATGTATGTACTAACTGTATTTTCATATACTCCTGCCCCCCTTCCTCTAGGCCAGTGGAGATATTCTCGCTAGTGCTTTTGACGCTCGTTGTTTTCACTCTTTTCACGTAGCGAGTCAGGTGCATGGAGACTCGCAGATTGATGGAGTTTCAGATTAGCTTCCATCATTATTTATTTTTAGTGGTTGTTTAGAGCTCCACAGTTGTTATGATTTACTTTCGAACATTTAGAGTTGTATTTTACTTTGTAAAGGCTGAGTGCCTTAGTATTATGTTCACTTGACTCTATGTATTGAGATACTTCATATTCATTTCCGATTATCAGTTGTTCTTCATTTTATTCAATTAGAACATGATTATATTATTATTGGATTCTCTTATTTCCTTTATTATGTTCATATTACTATCATCTTTATCTTATCTGCTTTGTACCTATTGTTTGGTAGAAAATTTGTAGTAAAAAAAATGAAGAAAAATTGATTTTTATTCCTTTGATCTTAATTACAATTGGATTTTCTGATTACAAAAGAGAAGAGAATTGATCTGGATTCTCCCCTTTGTTTAATTCTGGGTTTTTCACGATAGTGATGAGATGCCTTCCTCGAATGCTTGCGTCGAGTTTGCTTCTCGTTGATGATCCAAACGTCTTGTTTCACTGGAACATGATCTTCTCCTCACGATTTAACGTTGTGGAGGACTTGTGTGGCAAGTTTGAAACTCTGAACGAATTGATAACTCAGAGCGAGTTTAAACTCTTGTAAAAGAGTTGATTGATCTTAACCATAATTGGTTAGACAAGCCAAGCACGAAGATAGCTCCTGTTGCCGAAGAATGCCCTTTGTTGATCACTAGATCTGAAAATGCTCAAGGATCCAAAAATCTCTCTTGATCTACCCAAGCCAAAAAGAGGATCTGAACTAAGCTGATTTCTTAGTTATTTATAAGGGATTAAGGGGTGTAACTGTCCCCTTAATTCGCTCCTTTGTGGGGCTAATGGGATGTAACTGCCCCCTTAAATCACTCCTGAGTGGAGTTGTGATCCACTCAGATCATGGGAAATGGTTTTGAAACCGTTCAGCTCATGTTTGAATAAGTCAAACGTAAAATCCGCGTTCTGGTGTGAATTCTGTGTTCAAACGCAACGTCTGGAAGCTGCGTTGGCAGTAGTTTGGTAGCATTTAAGAGCTGTGTTTGTAGCAAATGGAAGCTGCATTGGCAGCTTTCGGAGGCTGCACATGTGGCCGAACATGAGCTGTGTTGGCAGCTAGATCTGAGCTGTATTTGTGGCGTTTGGAGCTGAATGTGAGCTGTGTTTGTGGCCAGGTTTGAGCTATGTTTGCGCTGCATTAGTGGCCGAGCTTGAGTTGCGTCAACGGCTAAAAATAATGCGTCTTGATGCTGGTACGCGGGGAGGACTTCCGCATCTTGATTTGAAGAGACCGTCGATTTATAGTCTCTTTCTATCAAATCGTTACAAAGATCGTTATTTTGTAATCTTTGCTTTAGCTGTTTGATATGTGAGACTCATCAGATTGTAACTCCCGATGTTAATTGTGAAGGTTATTGATTAGAGCTTTCATCAGTTGTTGTGAAGATCGTCAGATTGTAACCTTCATCGATCTACATGAAAGTCTTCAAATTGTAGTCTTCTGGAAGCCGTCAAGATCGTCAGATTGTAACCTTCATCGATCTACATGAAAGTCTTCAAATTGTAGTCTTCTGGAAGCCGTCAAATTGTAACTTCCATCATCGGTGTTTGATGGGAATCAACTATCTGCAGTGATTTTTAGACAGCCTACACATATACTTGTTTATTATTGATTCTACTAGAAAGATATTACTATGATGGTGAAACGTATTGTTGCACGATGTGGGTGCATGATAGGTTTGACATCATTGGGTTCACCTTGGACTATAGCCTTGTGTGAAACCAGGAGCGTCACAGTTAGTATTAGAGCTCTATTTCCAGCATCCTTAAGATCATCCTGTGTCGAGTCATGGATCTAGGATATAGTTTCTTAGGATTCATGTATAGAGTCCACTAGGAATTCCTAGATTGAGTGAGGACATTATACGTGTACCTCGAAAATTACGAAATTTTTTATGATAAATCTTACTTGATTGAAAACTATTTGCGTGAATGATATGTGATATGATTTACCTATTGTTATATGTTACATTATATTGCTAGAGGTCTCATTTACTGTGTCTTATAAACTCTACTCCTGAATTTTAGATGTCAGGAAGAGGACGTGCTTGTAGAGGAACCCGTGCTCATGGAGCTGGGCAAGCTGATCCACAGCCCGAGTCACAGAAGGTTCCACAATATCTGATTGATCTCATAGCAACGCTTGTAGCCCGGTTAGCGACGATTGAGGAGCAAATGGTGAATTAGGTTCCACCAATGACACCACCTCCAGTGGTGCCGTCACCAGCAGCTTATGTACTTATTGTAGAGGAGTCCCCAGCAGTCACACCATCACTAGCTATTGATAGGGCCGCAGAGCGATGGCTTAACTCCTTTTAGTGGAGAGGTACTAGAAGATGAGGGTACCAGAGTTTCATGGCACATCGGATTCACTTGTAGCATATAAGTGGAAGGAAGATGTGGGGAATATTATGGATATGCTTAATGTGGACACAGTACAGAAGCAGAGGCTAGTAGCATTCAGTCTTAAGGGTAACGCAGGAGGGTGGTACTGACTTCAGTTCACTCCAGAGCAGCATATGATACTCACCTGGGAGGAATTCATCTTTTTCTTTGACGAGTAGTATGTATCAGTGGCGGTGAAAGCTGAGAAGGAATTGGAGCTAGCCCGGTTGGAGCAGGAAGGTATAACTATAGCTGATTATGAGAGTAAGTTTGTGGGTTTGTTCAGGTTCACGGGCATGTGACAGACTGGGGAGCATCAGGCTCAGATGTTCTTTATGGGACTTCGCCCAAGCTTACATCGCTGCTTAGTGTCTCAACGATTTCATTCAGTGCAGGAGGTTACCGATGCTGCCATATCACAGGAGACCGAGACATCTATGTACTAGAAGGGCAAGGAAGGAAATTCTAAAGCAGGGCAGTCCGGAGAAGGGAAAGGGAAAGTGAGACCATTTTTTAGGATCTGTGAGGAGCCGCTAGGCAGCAGGAAAAGGGTTCATAGTAGCAGGGTCCCCATAAGAAGGGATCAGAGCATGATCAGAGAGCACCACAATAGCGTAAATTCCAGGGTGCTTGTTATAACTAACATAACACATACACTCCCATGGCTACACATGTGTATTGACGTGTGAGCTCGTATATCATGTTTACTATCAAACGTGCATAGAAGATCAACACACGCAAAAACAACATCAAATCAGTCGACTGGCCCTTGGGAATTAGTCGACTGACACTCGATCAGTCGATTGATATCCCATCAATCGACCCAACAACGAACATTCATAATAAACAATGTTTGGTCTCATGTTATGATCCTACATCTTCTAATCTTGTTTTGATGATTACAAATAATTTCTAATATTGTTTGTCTAGTGTTTATATTTTCTTATTAGGTATTCTAGACAAACAATGTAATGGAGGTTAGGTAGAATTGCGCCATAACGATCATATCAAATGTAGGTTGGCGAAAATAGTGGAGTGAAACAATGCAATTTAAGTTAAAGGGGGGTTATTCATTGGGGTAATTGTTGGGGTAATGGGATAATTTTTAGAACAACAATGTTTGGTGTTATTCATTGGGGTAATTAGAACTGGGGTAATCTTTATGGTGTTATTGGTTTGTTGGGGTAATTCTGGGACAAATACCCCACTTTTCCCTAATTTATCCTAGCTATAAAAGCAAAGTTCAGCCCTGCCCCTAAATTTTGCGCCAATTCTTTCGCTGGAACCAAAAAACCCAGTTAGAGACCCGACGCCCCCAGATCTGACCTCGTCTCTCCGCCTCGAGTTTGAACGGTGCCGGTCTCTAGCTCGTCGGCCGCCTCCTCCGCCTCCTCTCTCCAACTCGAGCTCGTGCGGCACTATCACTAGCTCATCTGCCGTCTTTATGGTGTTATTGGTTTGATGGGGTAACTCTGGGACAACTTCCCCACTTTCCCCCAATTTACCCCACCTATAAAAGCAAAGTTAAGTCCAAGCCCCAAAATTTGCCCCAATTCTATCGCTGGAACCAAAAAACCCAGCTGGAGAACCGACGCCCCCAAATTCCAACCTCGTCTCTCCGCCTCGACTTCGAACGGCGCCGGTCTCTAGGTCGACGTCCGCCTCCTTCGCATCCTCTCTCCGCCTCGAGGTCGTACGTCGTTCGCCGCCGAACGCCGTTCGCCGCCTCGAGCTCGTACGTCGTTCTCGAGCTCGAACGCCCGCTTCGCCGCCGTCGTTCTCGGGCTCGGTCACCACCACCATCACCTCCGCCGCCTCCTCCGCAGCACCGCCTCCCAACCTAGGTACAATCTCTGGATCCATCTCCTCCGCTATCAAAACTAAAATTTATAGTGAAAACAAATTGAATGTTGGATAAATGAGTGTTGTTTTGGGAGGTTCCTAGCGTTTGGGGTTGCTTGAAGATGACGATGACGAGGTCGATGGAGGGGAACTGAACGAAGAATTCGGCCAAGATTCTATCATAAATAGTTTTCATTTGATGCACTCTTTGTTACTTTATTTATTTCCTTTCTATTCTATGCTAGAAGGGGAAAAAATAGAAAGAAATCATAGATGGGTAAGCTGCTTGCCTGATCAATCAAGCGATACTTGTTTGTTGTGTGAATCTGGAACTTTGCATGTTCTTTTGATGGTATGATACCATCCCAAAGTGAAACCTGTCATATTTGTGATTTACACAAGATAATCAGAAACATAAATCTCATTCCTTTGTTCTTCTTGGTTAACATGAATCTCTATTACAGGCAGCTTATTTTCCTGGTTAACATAAATCAAAAACATAAATGCTTTCCCAGTTCCTTACAAACTTATGATGTTTAGAAAGCTAATTCTCGTGTAGGAACCAGTATAACAACTACAGATCACATACAATGTAAGTGGAGAGAACAAATGGAAAACACAATGTGGAGGGCGGAGCTCAAGGAGGAGCTGGGCGCGTCGTATAGTGGAGATCTGGGGGTGGCACAACGACGGCCACAATTCGAGCTGTTATTTGAATTGTTCCAAAAAGACCCATTTATCTTGTTGTGATAATTATGAACATGAAGGTTAAAACCATTTATCTTGTATTGTTGTGATAATTTGACGTTAAAACTATGTACTTGTGAATTTTCTTGTATTGTTGTGATAATTTGATATTGAAACTATGTACTTGTGATAATTTGATGTTGAAACTATGCTCTGGTGATTTGTATGACAGTTGGAAAATTTTGTGTGTTATTAAAGATTTTGGGGTTGTGTGTTTGAACAATTATTACAATTAAAAAATTTGTTAATATAGCATAAATATTAAAATAAACATCAAATATTCAAAGATTGATTTATATTAACATTATTAATATTAAATTAATCTTAAAAATAATATTATTGTATATTATAACTATTATTTATTTTTTGATGTTATATTAAGTTAAACTTGAACTTAATTAAGCTATAAATATAATATTATAAAAAATGTCATACCAATTGTCCCACTCAAATTGTCTCATTATCCCATTTTACCCCAATTTATCCCACTCAAATTATCCCATTGGGTAAAATTATCTCATTGGGTAAAATTACCCCATTGGAACAAATTACCCCAATTTGGCCCAAATTAACCCAATGAATAATCCCCCCCTAAAGATTCAAGTTCAAGCTTCATCCGCAAGTTTACCAAGTCGAACTATATTGAAGACTTTCAAGCTTGGGCATATAGTTTATAGTATTTGTAGTATAGGTTTACACTTGTGTGTTAATATCTTAAGCACAATATTATACACACAATTTAATGGTTTATATGTTTTATCCACAAAAGTTTTTACAAACAAATAGATATATAATACTTTACACACAATTTAATGGTTTATATGTTTTATCCACAAAAGTTTTTACAAACAAATAGATATATAATACTTATTTGTTTTATATGTGGATAAGTTATTTTATCCACAAAAGTTTTTACAAACAAATAGATATATAATACTTATTTGTTTTATATGTGGATAAGTTATTTTAGTTTAGCTATATAGGTATGAAACAATATATATCTTTATTTTCACATTTATGTGTTTCATATTCTATTGAATTTGCAAAATATTATGTTTATAGATTGAAGACTTATTTACACTATTTTCATATCTTGTATAAGTCTCTGAATCTATCCTAAAGTGTTTCAAAGTTTTGTTTAAGTCATTTTGGCAAAATCAAGTTTTTATCATACTTATGTGATTTTGTAAAATGATGAGATTTCACATTTGGGAGATGCTTTTTTAATAACCAGTTTTTGTAACATATTTATTATCATATCTACAATCATTTTTCAAAGTTTTATATTTTTAAAATTTATTTGATATTTTTAAACCTTATTTTAAGTTGGCATATACTGCTTAAAACAGGCTGTGTGCATGTCTTGAGTCGACTCATGAACAGTGTTGAGTCGACTCAGAAACTGTTGTGTAGTTTACATTTTGTTTCTGATGAGTCGACTCATAACATCATAAGTCGACTCAGAAACTGTTGTGTAGTTTACATTTTGTTTCTGATGAGTCGACTCATAACATCATAAGTCGCGACTCAGAAACTGTTGTGTAGTTTACATTTTGTTTCTGATGAGTCGACTCATAACATCATAAGTCGACCCAGATAGGTTGAGTTGACTCAAGCCTGTCATAAGTCGACTCATAAACTGTGCTGGAAAGTGTGTTTTGTTTCTGATAAGTCGATCCATGACTTTATGAGTTGATCCATGCATGATGAGTCAACACATGAATTTTATGAGTCGACCCATAAGCTGTTTTTAGCCTATAACGGCTAGGTTATGAGTCGACCCATGACTTTTATGAGTCAACCCATAAAGTGTCCGTTGCACAATAACATCTATTTTCCAGCTTTGTTTTCTTTTAGGTTTTTGGTCTTTTTCTTTGGTTTCTTGGGGTACCTATATATACCCCATACCCTCTAACTTCTAAGGGTAACTAAGAAAATTGTTTATACAAGTTTAGAAAAGTTTAACAAGGGTTTAAGTTTGTTTTAGTTTTTGTTTTTGGTTTGTGAAGTAGTTTTCACAAGTGGAGGAGATCATGTTCATTTGAGCTTCAATCTCTATCTCTCCATCTTGTTATTTCAGAGAAGAATTTCTAAACTTAATACTAGCGTTGCTTTAATTATTCGTTGTTTATCATTTTCATTAAGATAGGGTTTACATTGAGTTTATGATTGATTTTCTCATTGTTTACACACACAACCATTAAGCTTATTGTATTTTCATACTTAGTATAATTTGGATTGTGGGGAGTTGTAACAATTGAGAGTGAGCTTACATTGAGTTCTCACCTATTGTAGAGAATATTTTATTGTATTGTACTTAATTGTGAGTTACACGTTGTATCATGCTTGTACACCGAGAGGAGTGTGTGGTGAGAGACGGGGTTATCCCAAGAGGAGTGGCGTCAGTAGTAATGCCTAGATATAGGTCGTAATTCCGAGCACTTGAGGGAAACACGGGCTAGAGACCAACACTTAGAGGGTGTAGAGTGTGAGTGCAATTGTGTGTGTTGTAAAGTTTTCGGTGAACTAGAAAACCGAATTGTGAGGTGTAAACGTTGTTCGGTGAGTGTAGAAAAAACGGTTGTAATAGTGGATTTCTCCTCGGGAGTAGGGAACTGAGAGGTAAGACCGAAGGTCCGAACTCCATGATCATCTTTGTGTGTTAGAGTTTGCATTGGCGTATCTTTTGTGTCTATTGCTTAGTCTATTTTATTCGCCATTGCTCATTGTTTACATTGCCCTATCACATTTGTTTTTGCTTATCCTTGCATATAACTCATTGTGTATCTCATTGTTAGGATATTGCACTTAGTTTATATTGTTTATTCTTGCTCATATCACATTGTATATCTATCTTACAAGAATAATTTGTTAATAAGTTTTAATCGGTATTAATATCTAATAAGATTAGCAATAACTCTATTCACCCCCCCTCTAGGGTACTTTTAATTAGTATCAGAGCTTGGTGCTCTTGATTTAAGGTTTAACCGCCTTGAGTTAACGGTCTAAGCTTCCATATTGTTGCTAATCTTGTTTTGATATTATTTAATTCGCTTGCTCATATATTATGGATATGTTTGGTGTAGGCTACGATATGAATGTTGCTCCCAAATATAGTAACTTCCCTTATGAACAATGGTGTTGTAGATTCAAAATTTTTGTTGAATCTAGAAATATAGACTTATGGGAAGTTATTGACAATGCTTATATTGTGCCCACTTCGGAGAAATCCAAGTGGAGCAAACATGATAAGAAAATATTTACTATGAACAAATTAGTGTTAGACTTTATGAATGAAGCTTTTGGTCCATGTATTTCTAACGAACTTGCTCATTTTGATAGTGCTTATACAATTTGGAAATTATTTGAAGCACATCAAGGGAACTTGGAGGTAATCTGACGATCTTTGGTGGCTCCCTCTACAAGTTCACAAGGAGCCTCATCATGCACACGGCCACTAGGCGATAGCCCTAGTGAGGTATGCGAGTCCGATAACGAAAATGATCTTACTAATGATGAACTCGCATATGGCTATGAATTATTAATGCATGATTATAAGAAATTGCAACGTAGCTACATTGACTTAAAAAGCAAGCATGTCGAAATTAAATCCTCTCATGAAACACTAGCCACCAAGTTTGATCTCATTGCAAATAAAAATGTAAATCTCAAAAATTATAATAAAAAATTAAAATTGGAAAATGCTAGTTTGTTTCATAAAAAATGTGATGCTATATTAGAAGTTGAGAACATTAGAAAAAAGCTTAATTCCTTCAAAATTGATCATGTATGTTCTACTTCTAACAACAATGCTTATGTGGATAATAATGAGTTGAATCATGTTAAAAATAGAATATCCTTTTTAGATTCAACATTAAAAACTTATATTGTTAATAATAACAAGCTTATAGACTTGTGTGTAAAGTCCCACAAAAATATTTTTAAGAAACCTATTTCACTATGCACACAAGTATAACAAAATTTATAAGTGTTCAATTTGCGGCCGTAAATGCCATATTATTAAATTTTGTTATAATGCACAAAAGACTAACAAGCCTAATCATGTTTGTGCATTCCATCAAGCTTCTCCATCCCATACACATGTACACACACATAGTGATAATCATAAACATGCTCAAGTGTATAAGTGTGAATTTTATGGTCATTTTGGTCATTTGGCCAAGTATTGTTTTGATTTAAAAAGGAATTCACTTTTGCCAAATGTTTCTAAAGAACCACATGTGTTTGTGTAATATTTGTGGTAGATTTGGACATATTGCAAAATTTTGTTATGATTTGCAAAAATCTTCTATGTTGAGAAATGTTCCTAATAGACCCATGTTTGAAATTATTTCACATTTGCAAAAAGCTTCAAATAATTCACCCTTGTTTGCAAATGTTCCACGTGCACATCCACATGGTCAACATAAATAAATGCATCCTCTTCATTGCACTTATTGCAATCGAATGGGTCATTTGTATAATTATTGCTATGATCGCATTCGTACACAAAATGTGCTCAAAAGGGATCACAACCCTAGGGCTTTAAGCTTTAATGATAGGGGTCATGTCCCTAGACTCTTAGGTACTAAGAGTAATTAGGTACCAAAACATGTTTAATCTTTAAGAACGAATTCTTTAGCTTTTTAGTTTTTCATGTTCTTAAAGATGTTTTTATTTAAGGTTTTATAAACAAAACTAAAAACAATTTCATTCTTGGTATTTGATTTGCAAAATTTTCATTCTCTTTTATAGATTTTCATGTACTCATCCTTTATGAATTGATACAATTTTTATCAAGATGATTTTTTGGTAATATACCATGTTTTCAATTATTTTAACAATGTGTTTATGTTTATGGGATCATTTTAAATCACTCTTATGATGACATTTATGTGTTTAAGCTTTTGGATCATCTAATTGTGGTTTATAATATATTCCTTATGTGGTTTGATCAAGTTTTTGCAAAAAGGATTTCTTCTATTGATCAAACACTTTTTAGATATATACTTTTGTTTTGTATTTTCATATGAGAGGTTAT